CTCGGTGGCTCCCACCACCTTGGGAGGCCGAGGCGGGAGGATCACTTGAGCCCAGGAGTTTCAGACCAGCCTTGGCAACACAGCGAGAGCCTGTCTCTACAAAACAAAACAAAAATTAGCTGGATGTAGTGGTGTGCACCTGTAGTCCAAGCTACTTGGGAGGCCAAGGCAGGAGGATTGCCTGAGCCGAGGAGTTCAAGGCTTCTGTGAGCCAAGATTGCGTCACTGTAGTCCAGCCCGGGCGACAGAGTAAAACTCTGTCTCTAAATAATCATAGTCATAATAATAAAGCCTGGGGTATGCGGGGATGCGTGCTACTGGCATCTACTATGAATGGCTGGGAACATTGCTAAATGTCCTACAGTGCACAGGACAGCCCCTGACACAAAAGGTGCCGAGTCCCAAATGTGAATCATGCAGGGCTGCAAAACCTCGGGGAAAGTTTCCAGGGGAGATGCTGCCAGGACAGGGTTGGCCAAACTAAGGAGCAGGAAGGTGGCTTCAGACAGAGCAAATATGGGGACAAAGGCTTTGGGCATCAGTGCAGTGCATGAGGGACCCTCAGGAATCTGGGATCGCCAGAATCTAACGGGGACCCTGGAGAAGGGAAAGGAGGCATGTGGCAGGCAGAGGACCTGGAACTTGGTCTTGTGGCCAAAGGTGGTCATCTAAGTTGGTAGTTTTCAAAACTAACTTATTTTTTGAATAGGTAATGTGTTTATGTAATTCAGAATTCAAAAACCATCGGGAGAGGTCCTCGTCCTGCCCCTTTCTGAAGATGACCCATTTCCTCTGGGAGATGATGGCTGCGGGTTGTCAGTCTCTTCTATGTTCTTCTCTAATATTTTCCTCTTTTAGTTTTTTTTTTTGAGACAGAGTTTCACTCCATTGTCCAGGCTGGATTGTGGTGGCATGATCTTGGCTCACTGCAGCCTCTGACCTCCTGGATTCCAGCGATTCTCCTACCTCAGCCTCCCAAGTAGCTGGGACTACAGGTGTGCACTACCACACCTGGCTAATTTTTGTATTTTTAGTAGAGATGGGTTTCCCCACGTTGGCCAGGCTGGTCTTGAACCCTTGACCTCAAGTGATCTGCCTACCTTGCCCTCCCAGTGCTGCGATTACAGGCGTGAGCCACTGTGCCTGGCCCCTCTTTTAGTTTTTACACAAACAGTACCCTACAGGATTAAAACCATAGTTGCGAAATTATGATGCAGTGTTGGGTTTTAACTGGGTCACTCTATTAGATTTGAGGTGGATGAGGCAGGAGACCGGACGAAGGCTGTTGGCATGGGCAGGCGGAGAGATGGTGAGGACAGAGGGCAGGGATGGGGTTCAAGGAGGAGGTTCAGGTGGAGGTTGTCTAGGTGGGATCAGCAAGGAGGAGGAGGAGGTGCAGATTGGTGGGCAGCAGGAATGGACAGGACGAGAAAGAGGGGTTGCAGGATAGTCCAGGGGCAGCGCTGGCCTGGCAGGAGAGCTTCCGGGCTGGATCTGCACAGCTTCTATTCCTCTCTCTAGACTCTTGCCGGTTCCCAGGGTATCAGCAGCCCCTTCACATCTGGCTCCAGAATGCTGGGGGCCTCTGGGGCTCCACGAACCTCAGCAGGAGGTTTTCTAGGTAAAATATAAAATGCCCAGTGACATGATTTGGATGTTTGTCCCACCTAAATCTCAGTTTGAAATGTAATCTTTAAACGTAGGTTTTCTTAAGAAAAGCCTTTCACTGGGCGTGGTGGCTCACGCCTGTAATCCCAGCACTTTGGGAGGGCGAGGCAGGTGGATCACTATGTTAGGAGTTCAAGACCAGCCTGACCCAGATGGTGAAACCCCGTCTCTACTAAAACTACAAAAGTTAGCCAGGTGCGGTGGCAGGCGCCTGTGATCCCAGCTACTTGGGAGGCTGAGGCAGGAGAACCGCTTGAACCCCAGGTGGCAGAGGTTGCAGTGAGCTAATATCACACCACTGCACTCCAGTCTAGGTGACAGAGTAAGACTCCATCTCAAAAGAAAAAAAGCCTTTGAGCTGCAGGTCAGGTGAGTTGTTTTAGAAGTACCAATAGTTCTGCTGGTGCGAGAGAGACTTATCTCCCGGCAGGTAAACCCAAGTTTGTCAACGGAGGCAGTAACCCCAGCGGCCAGCACCAACAGTGGGGAGGCGGGGCCTTGTGGGAGGTGATTGGATCATGGAGGCGTTTCTCCTGAATGAGTGCAGCATCCCCGTGGTGCTGTCCTGGTGAGAGTCAGGGTGAGTTCTCAAAAGATCTGGCCATTTATACTGGGCACAGTGGCTCATGCTTGCAATCCCAACATTTTGGGAGGCCAAGGCGGGTGGATCACTTGAGGTCAGGAGTTCGAGACCAGCCTGGCCAACATGGCAAAACCCTGTCTCTGCTAAAAACAGAAAAATTAGCCGGGCATGCTCTGCTACTCAAGAGGCTGAGGCAGGAGAATCGCTTGAACCTGGGAAGTGGAGGTTGTAGTGAGCTGAGATCACGCCATTGCACTCCAGCCTGGGCAACAGAGCGAGACTCAGAAAAAAAAAAAAAAGATCTGGTCATTTAAAAGTGTGTGGCACCCCCGCCCCTGCGCCCGTCCCACTGTTCCTGCTTTCACCACGTCACTGCCTGCTCCCTCTTTGCCTTCCCCTTGGCCTTCCGCCACGATTGTCGTGATTATGATCTGCTATGATTGTAATTGTCCTGAGACCTTCCTACCAAGCTTCTGTGCAGCCTGCAGAAACTGAGCTCATGAAACCTCTATTCTTTACAAACTACCCAGCCTCAGATATTTCTTTAGCAATGCCGGAATGGCCTAACACACACTGATACATTTGAATTTCAGACAAACAACCAATATTTTTGTACAAGTATATCCCAAATATTCCATGTAGTTGTTTATCTGAAATTCAGAATTAAGAGGGCATCCTGTATTTTTATTTGCTCCACCTGGCCGTCTTGCTCAGGGAGAATACAAGTCTCCAGGTGCAAGTCCCCAGGGAACTCTTTGGCCTGGCTCTGGGGCAGCATCTGTGTGAATGCAGCCATGTTTTAGCCACCTTCGGGATGAGAGAGGGACCCTGGTGAGGGCCACAGCAAGAGTAGCCCTCGAGAGCACCTTATTCTCATGGGAGCAGGCCCCGTACGGTCTGCGTTGAGCCCATCAAATGACTCTGAGGGCATTCTCTTCCCTTTCCCAGGGACAAGGCCCTGGGAACCCCACAGGTGTATCATGGTGCTGGGCACCATCAGTGGTCAGACAATGCTTACATGAACAAACAACTGCATGAAAGAATAAATTGGGCCGGACACGGTGGCTCACACCTGTATTCCTAGCACTTTGAGAGGCTGAGGCGGGTGGATCACATAAGGCCAGGAGTTTGAGACCAGTCTGGCCAACCTGGTGAAACCCCATCTTTACTAAGAATACAAAAATTAGCTGGGTGTGGTGGTGGGCACCTGTACGACGGAGGCTGAGGCAGGAGAACCTGGGAGGCAGAGTGTGGGAAGTAGAAAATTTCCTCTTTAAAGTTTGCTTTCTTGTTAAAGAATAGGTGTGTTAATCACTGTTTGTTAAGCCCTATCCTATGTAGCTGTCAGACATGCCATGCTTACAGACACATAGTATATTCTATGTCCTTGTACTTTAGCCAAAATATCTGTGCTGGACGTGCTCACAGGCATGTCCCAGCTCTCCATCGCTTTTTCCTGTTTAGAAAAGTTTTAAGTTGTTAGCCAATCGGGTTTTAGTTTACATTGTGAGGTCTGGCTCCAGCCAACAGAGATCAGACACAGCGGTAAGGATGACCTCAAATTCATAAGGGATAAACTTGTCTGCTTTCTTTTGTTCATTGTACTCTCGTGGCAAGATGGCTAGCGAGGGTACCTTTCCAGCCTAGGAAGTAAAAATTGTGTCGCTGAAAGATTCTTTGTCTCAGTGCTAATTTTTCTTTGTGGCACTGAGCATCCGTTTCCAATGAAGGTTGCCATCAGCTGTGGTTTCGCCACTGCACTCAAGCCTGGGCAGCAGAGCGAGTTCCATCTCAAAATAAAATAAAATAAAAATAACAGCAGATAATCTTTTTCAGCAAGACCATCCATTTTCCAACTAACTCAGCAGCATGTGGTCACCCCCCACCTCCCTTGGGAATTGTGCGTGCAGGATGCGGAGCCTGGCGCAGTGAGCCCTCCGCAGGGGATGTCCCGCTGTCTTTACCTGGCTCGTGATGAGTGGTATTGGGAAATTTTTCCTGTCATTCCAGAAACAGGCAGCGTCTTCAACAAAATTAGCCACATTTTCTGTCCTAGATAAAATATTGGAGGAGGCTTATGTCTGCATACCATTTGCATATATTTGCTTAAGAAACACCTTAGCGTGGCTTTTGCATTTTAGACTGACTGCTCTTCTAGGAGTCAGAGCTGTGCTGCTGCTCATAGCGGCTTCGAAGAATCCCACTGGGGATCCATGCTGGAGAAGAGTCACCTCTAGGGAGAAGCTCTCGGGCCCCCATCAGGGCACCGCCCCCACCTTGTGGACTCTTCAGGGGATGGTGTCCCTGTACTCTCACCCCACGCCTGCTGCCCCTCCTGGCTGCTGCTCCAGGCTCAGAGTGCTCAGTGTTACGAAGGAGCAGATGCTTCTAAGAGAAACACACACAAAATCATGGCAGTGGATGCCGGGATCATCACCCGCAGTGCCTCCAATCACGACAGCCTGGGTAGTCACTGGCCGATTGGCACTCCAGGGTTCCAGCCTCCCACCCCCAAAGGCTTTGCAGAGCCTTGCCAAATGGATGTGCTTGTGTTGACTGGCTGCCACTCCGTGGTGATAGATCCCTGAGAGTTGATGGTCAAAGCTGATTAGCCGGGGCTGTGAAGGAGGACTGCCCTGGACATGCAGGGCTTGAGGCAGCAGGGGTGTTCTCAGGGCTCTCAAAGGTTCTGCCTTGCCCCACTGTGCCTGGCACAAACCCCAGCATCCTTTCTGGTTCCCTCCTCCAGGTATGCACGGCCTTCACTGCAGAGCATGCCACACACGGGCATGTCAAGATGCACCATGCCTACACCAATGTGGTGGGGCTGGGGGACTCCAGCACGTGGAGGCTGCCTTGCCTCAACCGCTATGTCTACATGTTCCTTGCTCCTCTCCTCCTCCCCGTCGCCACACCACTGGTGGCTGTCGGTGAGTATCAAGAGAGCCCGGTCTGGGGTACCCTGCATGGACCTTCCTCTGCTCTCCTTGCCTGCCTGGCTGCATGGACGTAGCTTGTAGAGGAAGGCCCGAGAGAGACTTGCTGAGACGGCCTGGCAGGTAGAGAGAGCCTCGGACCCGGAGCCAAGTCTGGCTCTGCCACCTACTAACTGGGGACCCTGGGCAGATAACCGAACCTCTCTGAGCCTCAGATCCTCTACCTGCTCCTCAAGTTTGGTGTGAAAGAAAATGAGGTCCTAGGTATAAAAATGTTTTGCAGGGGCCAGGCATGGTGGCTTATGTCTGTAATCCTAGTGTTTTGGGATGCTGAGGCAGGTGGATGGCCTGAGCTTAGGAGTTTGAGACCACCCTGGCCAACATGGTGAAATCCCCGCTCCACTAAAATACAACAAAATTAGGTGGGCGTGGTGGCGGGGGCCTGTAGTCCTAGCTACTTGGGAGGCTGACTGAGGCAGGAGAATCACCTGAACCCAGGAAGTGGGGGTTTCAGTGAGCTGAGATCTTGCCATTGTAACTCCAGCCTGGGTGACAGGCTAGACTCTGTCTCAAAAAAAGAAAAAAAAAAAAATGCTTTGCAGCTGCCTTGCACAAATCATACTTCATGTTTACAGCTTTGATGTCCGGGGAGCGATGTTGTATGGTGGAGGGAGCAGGAGGGAGGGAGCAGCTAGACCTGGGTTTAAATCCCACAGCTTGACCTTCATCAGATTGCTTCCTGTTTCTCGCTTTCTTTGTTTCTTCTTCTTCTCCTTCTTCCTCCTCCTCTTCCTCTTCTTCCTCTCCTCTTCCCCTCCTCCCTCCTCCCTTCTCCTCCTCCTTGTCCCCTCCTCCCTCTTCCTCCTCCTCCTTCTTTTTCTTCTTCACCCCCCTCCTCCACCTCCACAGAGTCTCACGCTATTGGGCCGGCTGGAGAGTGCAGTGGTACAATCTCAGCTCTCTCCAGGTGGTGCACACCTGTCGTTCCAACTACTCAGGGGGCCGAGGTGGGAGCATCACCTGAGCCTAGGAGGTCAGGCTCCTCCTGAGTAGCTGGGACCACAGGTGTGAGCCACCATGCCTGGCTAATTTTGTGTATTTTTGATAGAGATAGGGTTTTGCCATGTGGCCCAGGCTGGTCTTGAACTCCTAGGCTCAAGGAATCTGCCCGCCTTGGCCTCCCGAAGTGCTGGGTTTACAGACTTGAGCCATGATGCCTGACCTCGTTTCTTCATCCACACAATGGGGGATCCTGCTTTTCAGGGCTGTTGTGGGTATGAATTGAACACACTTAGTCCCCTGCCACTGCCTTAGCACACCTGAGCTAGCAGGGAGCTGCTCCTGATGGATCTGAGCCTTGCCTGTCCCCTCCCTCTGTGTCTTGCCTCTTCCTGCAGAACGGCTGAGGAAGGTGGGGCTGGGGACGGCCCTGCGGACACTGGCCCTGGTTTCCCTGGGCCTTTATTCTCACTACTGGCTGCTCCTGAATGTGTCAGGCTTCAAGAGCCCCAGCTCAGCCCTGGGCTGCATGTTCGTCACCAGATCCCTGCTGGCCCACCCCTACCTCCACGTCAACATCTTCCAGGTGAGGCCACCCCAACCTGGGCACTGGGTGGCTAAGGGGAGCATTCCCCAGGGACCCTGACTGCAGGCTGGACTCTAGGGTGAGGAGAGCGGGGCCACCTGAGGGGTGAGGCATCCTCCCTCTTACTGTCATCACACCGTGCCCTTGCCTCGTCCTGGAGAGACCCTTCTTGCTCTGTTCACCAGTCAAGATCCTACTCGTCGCTCAAGGTCAAGTTTCATAGGCAGTGTGAAGTGCTTCCTCTGCCAGGCGCTACCCTAGGTCGGGAACTCAGAGGCGAACAGGAGCTTTGGGTTGGTGCAGGGCAGGACACGATTAGGGGATTAAGTCATTAACAGCAGTTCTGGTAAGTGCTCCCCTTCGACCTCCCCCCACCGACTCCAAGGGTCATTCAAGAGTTTTGATTTCAGGTAAGAAGCAACCTTCTCTGCTGGGCGTGGTGGCTCACACCTGTAATCTCAGCCCTTTGGGAGGCTGAGGTGGGTGGATCACCTGAGGTCAGGAGTTCAAGACCAGCCTGGCCAACCTGGCAAAATGCCGTCTCTATTAAAAACACAAAAATGGCCAGGCACGGTGGCTCATGCTTGTAATCCCGACACTTTGGGAGGCTCGAGAATCACCTGAAGTCAGGAGTTCAAAACCAGTCTGGACAACATGGAGCGAAACCCCGTCTCTACTAAAAATACAAAAATTAGCTGAGCAGGGTAGGAGGCTGAGGCAGGAGAATCACTTGAACCCACGAGGCAGAGGTTGCAGTGAGCCAAGATCATGCCATTGCACTACAGCCTGGGCAACAGAGCAAGACTCTGCCTCAACACACACACACACACACACACACACACACACACTAGCTGGGTGTAGTGGTGAGCACCTGTAATCCCAGCTAACCAGGAGGCTGAGGTGGGAGAATCACTTGAACCTGGGAGGCGGAGGTTGCAGTGAGCCAAAATTGCACCACTGTACTCCAGTCTGGGGGATAGAGCGAGATTCCGTCTTAAAAAATGAAAAAGAATCGAGCTTCTCCTCAACACAGTCGGCATGCCTCCCTCCATTCATGGATACCCACGTGGTAGGAGATAAAGGCCCCAGTGAATGCCCTGAGGCAGGCAGATGAAGGCACTGGAGATGGAGTTCTTCTTGGGAGGCCAGGGCTCAGCATCCAGCTCCGGCATCATTTTCACGGGGACATCTCCCTGCTCCCTGCCCAGGGAAGGCCCCAGAGAAGCACTTCCTATACTTCCCTGTCCAGCACTTACTACAGCTGCTGTTAACTACTTAATTACTTAATCCCATACTTGTGTCCTGTCCTGCACCCACCAAGGCTCCTGGTCACCTCTGAGTTCCCGACCTAGGACAGTATCTGGCAGAGGAAGCACTTGACATTGCCTATGAAACTTGACCTTGAATGACGAGTAGGGTCTTGACTGGTGAACAGAGTGGGAAGAGTATCTCCGGGATGAGGCGAAGGTGTGAGGAGTGAGTGGTAGGCAGTCGAGAGCATGAGGGAACCACGCGTCCTGAGAGGTGCCCGGGCTAAGTCCCTGACTGTCCAGATGGGGAGGGAGGAGCAGAGATGATGAGACTCAGTGCAGGAAACAGGGTCAGCATCGGAGCCAGGCTAGGGGCCCCTCCACCAGGTGCCCTGCATAGGAGGTAGGGGACAGAAGAGCCCTCTGGGTAGCATGAGGTCCCAGGACACCTGGCATGGGGTGGGGAGGTCCAGGCTGCCCGGCGTGATCCACGTGTCTGTCACAGCACATTGGGCTGCCCATGTTCTCCCCGGACAACAAGCCCCGCCGGATCCACATGATGAGCCTGGGGGTGCTGAACCTGGCCCGGCTGCCCGTGCTGGACTGGGCGTTTGGGCACTCGATCATCAGCTGCCACGTGGAACACCACCTCTTCCCCAGGCTCTCCGACAACATGTGCCGCAAGGTAGTTGAGGTCTGGGCTGGGGGCGCTGGAATGAAGGGACCGTTAGAGGGTGGAAGGGAAGATTCTTTGGCCTGGCGGGGTTGCTCACGCCTATAATCCTGGCCCTTTGGGATGCCGAGGCGGGCCGATTGCTTGAGCCCAGGAGTTCGAGAGCAGCCTGGGCAACATGGTGAAACCCCGTCTCTCCAAAAAATACAAAAATGAGCTGGGTGTGGTGGCACATGCTTGTGGTCCCAGCTACTTGGGAAACTGAGTCACGACCACCTGAGCCTGGGGAGGTTGAGGATGCAGTGAACCATAATCGTGCCACTGCACTCCAGTCTGGGCGACAGAGTGAGACCCTGTCTCAAAAAAAAAAAAAAAAAAGGTGGCAGGGGGAGGGAAGAGCCTTCAGGGTTCACCTGAACTCCAAGTTCCCCATCTGGCCTGGTCAGAGGTCACCTAGGAAGGGCAACCAGTGTATCTGCAGCAGCATGGGTTTCAGATCAGAGATACCCAGGTTCCTTACTAGCAGTGCGACTCTGGACAAGTGAACTGAATGCCTCTGGGCCTCAGCTTTCTCTTCTGTAAAATGGGAGTAACAGGGCTTATGTTGACAGGCTTTGAGGATGAAATGGAGAAATAGATCTGAAATGTTTGGCACATGGTAGGTGCTTGGTAAAAGGGACCTTTGGTTTTTAACCCCCTGTGCCAAGGAGGGCTGTCATGTAGTCAGGATCCCTGGATGTTGGGAAGAAGCCACTCCTTTCTTCTGCTGGGTGAGGACAAGAATTCTCTGACTTAAGCCCTTCTGCTCCTCTGGAGAATCATGGAACAAGGCAGATAGGAGCTGGGGTGGGAAGAAGACACCCCCCCATGGGGTGATGGACCTGCCCACAGACCCAGCTCACAGGCCCCTCTCCTGCCTGTCTTCCCCCAGGTGAAGCCCATGGTGTCCCAGTTCCTCCGTGAGAAGCAGCTACCATACAACGAGGACTCGTATCTGGCTCGCTTCCGGCTGTTTCTCCATCGCTATGAGGAGTTCATGGTGCAGGCCCCGCCGATCACTGAGCTTGTGGGGCTGCAATGAGGCCACTGCAGCCACCCCGCCCCTGCCTGGCCCGGCCCTAGCCCTCCTACTGCTGCTGGCCCAGGGGTTGTGGCTCAGTGGCTGGTGGCAGACCTGGAGAGTGGAGACAGTGGACAGACAGGGAGGTGGGGTGCTCAGGCCTGGGGTCTGGGGGCCACCTGCCTTGCTTGCTTTTTTGGGTTTTGAGGCGCATCTGCGGGGAGCAGTAATGGTGGCTGTGTATGCTGGTCAGTCTGGACCTCAGCAGCTCTATCTCAGGACTGAAGAGCTGGGTCCTTCCCACTGCTTCCTCTCAGCCTTGGTAGGGCTAAGGGGAGGTGACAGGGTGAGGAGGGATCCTGTGCGGGGTCAGCTCCCTCAGCTGTGACCTCCCTGGCATTGGGAGAGCCCCACATGGCCTTGGCCACTGCCTCCTTCAGGTTCTGCCCACCAAGGTGTCCTCTCCCTGGGGACCTCAGGTGAGCTTGCTTTTGGCAGGCCTTCCTCGATTCTCAGCCAAAGGAACCTGTGCAGGACACTAGCTCAGCAGTTCCCCTGGCCGCAGTATCAGTGAGATAAAAGCAAGTGTGTTTTGTGTGGACAGAACTCCACAGAAGTGAGGGGAGAAGGTCCCTCAGGGACAGAGCTGGGGAAAGAGTACAAATGGCAGGCTAGGCGAGGTGGCTCACGCCTGTAATCCCAGCACTTTGGGCTGAGGCAGGTGCATCATGAGGTCAGGAGGTTGAGACCAGCCTGGCCAACATGGTGAAACCCCATCTCTGCTAAAAATACAAAAAAATTAGCCAGTTGTGGTGGCACACATTTGTAGTCCCAGCTACTTGGGAGGCTGGGGCAGGAGAATCACTTGAACCCAGGAGGCGGAAGTTGCAGTGAGCTGAGATCACACCATTGCACTCCAGCCTGGGCGACAGAGCTAGACTTCATCTCTAAAAAAAAAAAAAAAAAAAAAAAAAAGAATAAATAGCTTTGAATGTGACCTTGGTTAGCTCAAACAAAGTTTACTTCGTTCTGTGATATTTAGAAATGGTGAACCTGAGGATAATCCATTGGGAGAGAGAAAAATTTGGGGGAGGGGGTTGGAGCTGGGGGGTGTTCTGGGAACAGGGTCTGGAGGACAGATGGCCTCAGAGATGAATGGGAGAGGGTGGGGTGTAGATAGAAGAGGCTGAAGTCAGGGCTGGGTGGGCTGTGGAAGGATGGTCTGCAGCCTGGGAGTGAGATGGGAATATCAGGGAACAGCCAATGTTGGGCAGAGGAAGAGACCAAGGCACTGGGGGTCACCACTGAGAGTCAGCCCACAGTGGGTAGTGTTGAGAGAGGGCTGGGAGCTGCTCCAGCTGGGGCTGGACTGGGAGGGTGCTAGAAAGTGCCCAGGTGGAGGCTGAGGGAGAGACAGAGAAGGAGGCCAGACCTGTGACAGGAGGCCAGACTCAGTTGAAAACAGGTTCTCTCACCTCGGCACTATTGACTTTTTTTCCCTTTGGAGATGGAGTCTCACTCTGTTGCCCACGCTTAAGTGCATTGGCGCGATCTTGGCTCACTGCAACTTCTGCCTCCCAGGTTCAAGCCATACTCCTGCCTCAACCTCCCGAGTAGCTGGGACTACAGGTGCCCACTGCCACTCCCGGCTAATTTTTTGTATTTTAGCAGAGACGTGGTTTCCCCGTGTTGCTCAGGCTGGTCTTGGACTCCCGAGCTCAGGCAATCTGCCCACCTTAGCCTCCCAAAGTGCTGGGATTACAGGCGTGAGCCACCGCGCCGGCCACTATGGACGTTTTATCTGGGCAACTCTGTGTTGTTGGGGCTGCCCCGTGCACTGTAGGATGTTTAGCAGCATCCCTGGCTTCTACCTACTAGATGCTGGGAGCTCAAGTAATGACAATCAAAACTGTCTCCAGATATTGCCACGTCTTCCCCAGCTGAGAACATGCAAGTCATTCTCTGAGTGCGTAACTGCCTTGTTTTCCAGTGAAGTCCTTGAATGGGGTGAAGGGCGTGCTCACCCTGCTGATAACGGAGACAAACTGCCGGCAAATGGGAGCCTGTGGGATGGGCAGAGGGGTCTGGCTACAGGCACAGGTATTCTCTGAGCCCAGTTCCGTTGGAGAGCCCCTCTGCGTGTGGCCGTAGGCAGCTGCACAGAGGCCACTGGTTCCTTCAGGTGCACTCCCCACTCATCTCCATCATGCCTGCCTTTACCAAAGACTGCAACTCCTTTAGACGCCCTTTTCCATAGCTACAGGCTCTCACTCCTTCCCAAACAGCTCCCTTCAGGCTTGGGGTGGTAGTGGCTTCCAGCCACTGCCAGCCTGGGGTGCTTCTCCATTCCCTTCACCCTGCTCACACCTCTGTATACAAACTCTTCATTAAACTGTCCTCAATCACCCCTTTTCAGTGTGCCATCTGTTCCCTGCTAGAAGGCTGACTGATGGAGTTTTGGATCCAGGCAGCCGTCTTGGCACGAGGCAGGCTTGGCGGCTCCCCAGCCCACCACTTTGCTATATGTTATTGCTGCTCCTTGGAAATGCATTAGCAGCTTAGAAATGGCCTTAAGGTCTAGGGGTGTAATTAATCAAACTGCTAATTCTCCATTTGAGAAATGCAGTGACAGAAAAGGCCCCAAATGCACAGTCCTGGCTCATGATTAAAACCATCCAAATACATAACCAATAACTCATTGTTATTGATCTGGGCCTGACTGGGGCATGGGCAGCATCTGAAGGCCCTGGTACCAGATCTGGCTGTGCCCTGGGTATCCTGGGAACAAGTCACTCGATTGCTTTGAGGCTCTATTTTCTGTTTTGCTGAGGATGTGGACTGGTAATTTCTGGGGCCTGAGGGGTGAGGGAGGTGAAAGGAGTGAATGAAGTATATCCGGGTCTCTGCGGATATAATCTACAGAGGCATATGGGAGGTCATACTATGTATGGTTAATGATGATAAGAGCTAATGCTTATTTAGCACTTAGAGAAGATACCTTTACCTACATCATCTGATTTTAATGTTTACAACAAATTGGCACTACTACTTTCCTGGTATGTTACAGATGGTGAAAAAAAGTCCTGGAGAGGTTGAATTTCTCAATGTCACATAGCTAGTGCATGCAGGAAGAGGGACTGAAACCCAATGTTGTCTGACTCTAGAATCCATCCTCTTAAACACTAGATATACTGCCTCTAGATGGGGAGCCCTACAGAGCTTTTTTGATTGTGTGAACTTCCATTATGTGCCAGCCACTGTGCGAAATCCTGGGGATATAAGATCTAATGAGATTGGGTCCCCACCCTCCTGGAGCCTATAGTCTAGTGCAGGGGTGGTCAAACTCTGTAAAGGACAAGACAGTAAATATTTGGGGTTTTGTGAACCAGATGGTCTCCGTTACAACTACTCAATTGAGCCATCAAAGCACAAATAGAGCCATAGACAATATATAAAGAAGTAATCATGGATGTCTTCCAATAAAGCTTTATTATATTCAAACTGAAGTCTGAATTTCATGTAATTTTTACGTGTCACAAAATTTCATTTTTTTAACCATTAAAAATGTAAAAACCAGGCCTGGCGTGATAGCTCACCCCTGTAATCCCAGCACTTTGGGAGGCTAAGGTTGGGGGGGGGATCATGAGGTCAGGAGTTTGAGACCAGCCCGGCCAATATGGTGAAACCCCCTCTCACTAAAAATACAAAACTCAGCTAGGTGGGGTGGTGTGCACCTGTAATCGCAGCTACTCAGGAGGCTGAGGCAGGAGAATCTCTTGAACCTGGGAGGTGGAATTTGCAGTAAGCCGAGATAGCGACACTGCAGTCCAGCCCGGGCGACAGTGTGAGACTCATCTCAGAGAAAAACACAAACACACACACACACACGCACACACACACACACACACACACCAGCCGGGTGTAGTGGTTCACTCCTGTAATCCTGACACTTTGGAAGGTGGAGATAGGTGGATTGCATTAAGCTCAGGAGATTGAGACCAGCCTAGGTGACATGGCAAAACCCTATCTCCACAAAAAATGCAAAAATGGCAGGCACCTGTGGTCCCAGCTATTCAGGAGGCTGAGGCTGGAGGCTCGCTTGAACCAGGAAATGAGGTTGCAGTGAGCTGAGATGGCACCACTGGGTGACAGAGTGCGACCTTGTCTCAAAAAACCAAACCAAACCAAAAACCCCAACCCCCCCCAAAAAAACCCCCAAAACAGTAAAAATCATTCTTGCAGGTCATCCAAAACACACTGGCGGACAGTGTTTGGCCTGCAAGCTATAGTCTGCCTATTCCTGGTCTAGCGAAACAGGCATAAAACACAGGAACCTATTAGAAAGCAGAACAGTATTTACTTACCAGTGGGAGGGAGGGGAAGTGACCAGAAAGGGCAAAGAGGCCTCCTGGGATACTAACCATGTTTTATTTCTTGATCTGGGTGGTGGTTATATGGTTACACCTTGTGACATATTGTCAAGCTGTGCACTTATTTGTGCACTTTTCTGTATGTTATTCTTAAATTTAAAACCTCATTAAAAATGACAACCAGTGTAATAAGTCATCATGGGGTAAGGTCGGATGCTGTGGAATGAGCAGCTTTAACCCCTTGGAGCGTGGGAGGGGACGGGTCAGAGAAAAGGCTTCTCTCCAAGGAAGTAATGTTTGACAAGAGGGCCCATGGGAAAAAGAAAGAGGCATTAGGTTACTGGTCAGCTGTCACTACTGACCTACTCTTACTTTAAAAAATATTTTGATCATAGACTTTTTGCATTAATTTTGACATTTTAAAACGTCGCAGTATAACATTTATCTTGATGCCTGAGTGTCTTGGAGCCCCCTTAAATTATGAACCCGAGGGGAGTGCCCCAACCCGGGTCCCTGCACGGCTGCAGAGGGGTCGGAGGCTCTGTCCTTGTAGTACCGTAAGCCACTGCCCCGCCCCCCTTTTCTTCACCTGTGTAATGGGAAAGGAGGTGAGGTGGGACGAGCTCTCCAGGGTTTAATATTATCCCTGGCACGACAGGGACAGCATCTTGCAGGGCTTACAACACACGCGGTCGAAGAAATAGGCTGCTGAGTTCCTGGCGGGACCTCCCTCCACCCAGATTCCCACACTCCAGTTAATTTCCCAGATTAACTGGGAAGGCTCGCTTGGAACCGGACTCGTGATTGGCTGGGACAAAGTCACACGGGAGGATTCGCTACTAAATGGCACTGTAGCATGCGTCATCAGTGAGCGACGAGAGTCTCCCGAGAGGGGCGAGGCTAAGTAAAATAAGCTCCTTTCTAATTGGCTGCTTCCTTGGGGCGGGACTGAAACAGCGATGGGGATACGCTCTCTTCCAACTCTAGGCTTCCGGGATTTGGGGGGAAGGAGAGGATTGGGGAGAAATGTATTAAATTGCGTGTGTCCCGGAAGCTTAGAGGGGCAGGGCTTAGACGGTGGGGCGTGATTAAGGGCGGGCCTCTCTTTTGGAGACGGGATTCTCTCTGGAGTCGGGGTGGAGCCGCAAGGCTCTGCTTTCCCGGCGCGCTGGGGGCGGGGATTGGGGCGGGGTCTCGTTTGTGGGCGGGGCCAGAGGCCGGGTGGTGGCGGGCTTGCAGTGCCGGGCGTTTGCCAGGACCCACTTGCAGGTTGCTGTTCCCAGCCATGACTTCGCGCTGCTGGCGCTGGTGGGGCCGGTCGGCGTGGCCTTGGACCCGGCCGCTTTCCACCGGGAGCACCCCGAGTAGGAGCAGGGCGCCTTTGGGGCTGGATGGGAGCGCGGGGAGGCCTGGAAGCTCTGAGTAGGGGTCGGAACCGAGCTGGGGCAGGGCTGGAGAGGGGCGAGACTGGAGGGGTGTCTTCCTGCGGGCGAGATCGCGGTGGTGTACGGGGGCGGGCGGGGATCTGTGCGTGAGATGTGAGGCTTCTAGGGTGAGAGTCGGAGATCAACAAAGGTGTAAAGGAGAGACTATGAGATCCACAGGTGTGAGACGGGGTGAATGGGGGGGGCGATACGGAGGTCTGTGGGGCGAGAAGGAAGTCTGAGTCGAAACAGGGATTTGTAGGAATAAAACAGGTCTATACGGGCAATATAACGTTTTGTGGAGAGAGAAGGGTTAGAGGGGCGACATTTTGGGGAGACCGAAGGGGCGAGAATGGGATGATATAGAAGCCCTTGGAAGGATGTGGGATTCTACCCGATTGGATAGGGAATGAAGTGGTGTTGGGTAGGCCATTGGCAGTGGTGTAGTAGGTTCATGGGTGAGATGAGAGGCTCTGGATGAAGACTCAGCCTTTGGGGGTTCAGTTGAAGTAAGAGACCCTGCAAATGCCAAAGCCTTGAGGAGCAAGAGAAGGAGGATGCAGGTGAGGGTGAAGCTTGGGAAGTTCCACCTTCTGTTGGATATTCAAGTTGGTTTGGGACTGGGGAAAGTGGTCAGTTTTGACCTTTTCCCTCCCCTCTCCCTAGCCCCAGGCTTCCGCCACCAGTTCTCCACACAGGAGAAGACCCCCCAGATCTGTGTGGTGGGCAGTGGTCCAGCTGGCTTCTACACCGCCCAACACCTGCTAAAGGTAAGCCACTTCCTCATAGTCCATCATTCAACTGCCGCTCCAGTCCTAAGGGCAAGCCTCACCCACTTTGGGTTTTAAGACCACTCCTGGATGCCTGGTGGGGAAGGGGCTCCCAGCCATCTGGCCTGGACACTTCCCACTTGCTTCCTCACCTACACCTGGGGCTCCCCTCCCCTCACATCCTCAGTGTGAGAGAGGACCACTTGGTGGCCAGTGGTTAGTGGCAGGTGGTCAGCTCGGCCTCCCTGGCCAAGCACTCCAGGAGGCTTGTGTATATCTGCAGAATGACCTCATCCTCCTTCATCTTCCCTCCTTTCTCCTCTGTCTTCACTCTGTCCCAAACATCCTGCATCTTGAGGCTAACCGCCTCCTCCGCTTTCTGTAACTTTACCTTTTTTGCCATGCCCTCCTCACCCATAGCTCCAATCCTCCCCTGCCATTTTGTTCTTTCAGCTTGCCCTCTGCCCCTCCCCCTTCCCCTGGGAAGGCCAGGATCTCAAGGCTTTTAGTGTCCGTCATGGTAGGTGGGGCCCCAAGCCAAGGCTACATGTTATCCTTGAGACTCCACATCAGACTTTGAGACAGAGTAGAGAGGGGATACCCAGGTTAACTGAGACATGAGACAGTGGCCTAGCTTTGGAGAGGCTTGGAGTGTCTGGAGAGACAGGAGAATGGATGAATATCTTAATTATGCACACACACACACACACACACACTCACACAGATACTTGAAATGTAGGGTGACCAATTGGCCTGGATTTCCCAGGACAAGGGGCTTCAGCGCTAAGCTGGAGGTTCTTGGGAAACCTGGATGAGTTGATCACTCTGCCGAAAAGTGACCCATGTATGCTTCGAAGCTAATTACAATAATGTGGGCAGAATGAGCTGAGGCAGGTGGGGTCAATCAGAAACTTTCTTGGGCCGGGACTGGTTGGCTCATGCCTGTAATCCCAGCACTTTGGGATGCTGTGGCAGGTGGATCACTTGAGGTCAGGAGTTCGAGACCAGCCTGTCCCACGTGGTGAAAACCCATCTCTACTAAAAATACAAAAATTAGCCTCTCGTGGTAGCACACATCTGTAGTCCCAGCTACTTGGGAGGCTGAGGCTGGATGATTGCTTGAACCTGGGAGGCGGAGATGGCATTGAGACAAGATTGCACCACTGCACTCCAGCCTGGGTGACAGAGTGAGACCCTGTCTCAAAAAAAAAAAAAAAAAAAAAAGGAAAAGAAAAGAAAAAAACTGTTTCCTGAAGAGGGTGCATTTGAGCTGCATTGAAGAAGACCAAGGGCTTTGGCGAGGGCCTCCCACATGTGGGGAGTCATCCTGGAATGCAAGGCCATGGGCGAGTGGCCATGTGGGAGGGAGGACAGCCTGGGCTCTGGGATGGAGACTGAGGAGCACATGGGGGCTGGAGAGGCCCTGAAGAGCTTTGTCAAAGGGCCAATTTATTAGCTGAGCCTGAAATTTTCAAAGTGGGGCGAATAAGCCTTCCAGGCAGTGTTCTTTTTTTAAGATGGAGTTTTGCTCTGTCACCCAGGCTGTAGTGCAGTGACAATCTCAGCTCACTTCAACCTCCACATCCCAGGTTCAAGCGATCCTCCTGCCTCAGCCTCCTGAGTAGCTGGAATTACAGGTGCATGCCACCGTGCCCAGCGAATTTTTGTATTTTTAGTTCAGACAGAGTTTTACCATGTCGGTAAGGCTGGTTTTGAACTCCTGACCTCAAGTGATCCACCCACCTCAGCCTCCCAGAGTGCTGGGATTACAGGCATGAGCCACCTCGTCTGGCCCAGGCGGTGTTCTTAGCACAACTGCACTCAGCTGGCAGACACTTGCACATGCTTTCCTTGTGGGATGGGATGGGGAGGGGCTCGGGACAGTTACAGTCCTTGTTCTGATCCTTGGGCTGATCTTTGCTCACAGGGAGCTCCAAGCTGCTGGCTGTGCTCCTAAGACAGGACCACCTGCAGCACATTTGGGACAGTGGCAGTTAGCTTGAGTCAGGCACTGAGCGCAGCAGCTGGTAGCATCTCCATGACAACCTGCAAAGCAGGTGTCATGCCTCTTGCTTCACAGGTAAGGATTCTAGGGCTGAGTGAGGTTGTCCAAGCTTCCACTGCTGAGCAGGGACGGCACTGGGACCTGAGTGAAGGCAGCTCCATGCTAGGCCATCCACGTTCATCCATTCAGTAATCAATTACTGGATGTAACACATTCTGGGTGCAGGCTTCACTGGGAACATGGAGGTGAGCAGGACAGACATGGTCCCTGTGCTCAAGGACCTGACATTCGAATGTAGGGTGGGTAGACAGGTGGATAATTTACAAGGTATTTTAGGGCTCTGACGCTGTAAAGCACAGACACTGGGTGTGGGGAGGGTGTCCATGCCCAGTCCGGAGGAAGAGATGTCCCAGTTGCAGTCTGAAGGACAGTAGATGTCAGGTTGGGGGACAATGGCAGGAGTGTCCCAGGCACAGAGAACTGCATGGACAAAGAGGAAGAGAATGGCCCTAGGGCAAAGGGCAAGTTCTGGAAGGTACGTGTGTGCAATAAGGAAAGAGGAGGTGAGAGCCAAGGCTGAGACGTAGTTGGGACCCTGATCCTGGGGAGCTTGGTAGCCACTGTCCAGGCTCTGGAGGCAGGTTTCTTTGGGAGGTGTCTGAAGCTGCCTCCTCTTCCACCATCAGAGTCTCCTGGGGCATCTTATCAAAATATACATTTCTAGGCTTAGCTCGGAGCTAATGTGGCTGGGCCCAAGAGTCAGCAACGTTAAGCACCCCGAAGGATTCTCGTGCCCACTGCTGTCCAGGTGGTTGGCTTCACTGGAGAGTTTTTGGGGTGCTGTTTTCCTTCAGGTTGCCCCTCTGCCTGCAGGGTAGATCCAGGCAGGGCTGGTAGCCAGAGAGCGGTGAGGAGCTGCTGGGGTGACAGTGAGGAAGAGGACTGTGAGGATGGGGGATTGACGAGATCAGGAGGTGGGCAGGGAGGAGCCCCAGGTTCCAGCTTGGACTCTGGGTGGATGGGATTGAGGGAACAGGAGCAGAAGGGGAGCTGTTTGGGGTGAGGAGACTTGGCTTGAATCTGGATGGATTTGAGATATCTGGGGTGGGACATCCAGGGGTCTCAGGTTTGGAGCTTCGGGAGAGGTCTGGGCAGGAGAGAGAGAGTAGAAAGTCACCAGCAAGTTCAGGGGAATTTGGGGTCACCGGAGGGAGTGGCTAAAATCCCCAGGTAGGAGAGAGGGGTGCTTCAGAGAATGTCCTTGGGGAGCAGCTAGAGGGAGAGGAGAAAGGGAGGAGGTTTCCTGGAAGATGAGGTCAGCCATGAGAGATAAGAGGTAAGAATAACCAGCGGACTTAGCGTTCCGGAGGTGGCCCTGGAGAGGACACTGTGACCCAGAGTGAAGGATCTGTAGCAGGAAAGAATGGAAGATAAGTCAGAGAGGTCGGATCGGGTGAGGTGCTGACCTCCAGGCTGAGCCGTTTGAACTTGATGCTGTGGCACTGGGCCCCAGAGAAGATTTTTGAGCAAGGCAGTGACATACAACAACTGAATAGCAATGATTGCTCCCTCCTAGACTGAGCACTGAGAGTAGGTTGCACCCTGCGCTGCCTGATTACTCATTTAACCTTGAGCATGACGCCACAGGGATCTTCTTTTGGACAGAGAAGAAACTTTCCCCGGGGCACAGAGCCAGCTAGTGGTGGAGCTGGGATTGGCATGCAACACCACCTGTTTGACGCCAAGCCCAAGCCCAGTGCTCTTTGTGGGTACAACGTGGGGCTTGAGGGAGGTGGTTTGGGTAGCCCCCTGTGGCTGGCCTGGGATGGGGAGAGGTAGGAGGTGGGGGAGGGTGGACTTGGGCGCCGGCAGGCGAGTGGAGGGCAAGACGGATTTGAGTAAAGGCGAGGAGGTGGGTGGGAGCCTTTGTCAGGGGTAGGGCAACTGATGGGCAGGGGCATCTTCGCCTTGAGTCCCAGTGAAGCTGGAGGTGTCATAGCGAGGAGCTAGGATAGGATGGGGGGCTGGGCGTGTCAGCCATGGGAGCCCCAGCTGCTTTACTGCTAACCGGCCTGGGGCCCAGAGTCTCACCACCCTGACCTTCGGGTGCTTCCCAGCAGCCCTGAGAGGGAGCCATCGTCCTTCTAGTGTGCAGAGGGGGAGACTGAGACCGGGGGAGGCCCCAGGACTTGCTGGGATCATGTGGCTGGTTGGTGGCAGAGCCAGACCAGACTTACCTCCGACCCTGTGCCTTCCACACGGCCTCTCAAGGTGCCCTGGGAAGGCAGTCAGCACGGAAACCCTGCATGAGAGAGACTCTTTCTAAGATGGGAGCAGGTCTGTTTCCATCTCTCCTCCCTGAGAATCCTCAGCTGTGCCCCTCCCTGTCCTGCTGTTCCCCTTTCCCAGAGCATGGTCCTGGACACTAGAGCTGAGGCCCTGTGAATTCAGAGGGTGGTCCTCAGGTCTTCAGAAGGCAAAGCAGCTGCCCTGATACAACTGATTCAATTCCAGCTGGGGAAGCTACTGCCCTCCTTAGCTGGCCACTTTCTCCCCATCGCCCAGGGCCAACTGGCCTTCTGTTTTTTTTTTTTTTTTTGAGACAGAGTCTTGCTCTGTCACCCAGGCTAGAGTGCGGTGGCACAATCTTGGCTTATTACAACCTCCGCCTCCTGGGTTCAAGTGATCCTCCTGCCTCAACCTCCTGAGTAGCTGGGATTACAGGCACCCGCCATCATGCCTGGCTAATTTTTGTATTTTAGTAGAGATGGGGTTTTACCATGTTGGCCAGGCTGGTCTTGAACTCTTGACCTCAGGCAGTCCACCTGCCTCAGCCTCCCAGAGTGCTGGCATTATAGGCATGAGCCGCCACGAGGAATGCTCTTTTTCCTTGCACAGGGATAAGCCTTGTGTTCTCAGCTCAGGGTCCTGAACGCTCCTGCTGTCTGGGAGGGGGAGGAGTGTTCTGTCTGGGAGCCTGGGGGACGTGGAGGGGGTCCCAGCTTCTCTCTCCGCCCCACCAGCTGCCACCCTGTTCCCCAGCAGCACCCCCAGGCCCACGTGGACATCTACGAGAAGCAGCCTGTGCCCTTTGGCCTGGTACGCTTTGGCGTGGCGCCTGACCACCCCGAGGTGAAGGTGGGTCTCTGGGCCTGGAGGCTGGGGTTTGGTCAAGATGAGGAGGGCAGGGAGGCTACCTGGCTGGATGAAAGGACTTCATACCCTCTGTCCTGATGCCACCCAGCTTCCATCCTGGGGACACAGAGTGGTGAGGGTGGTGCAGACGTGGGTCCCTGGAGCTGCCTCACCCTCTAACCCCTCCCATTCCCGGGGCACCTGGCAGAATGTCATCAACACATTCACCCAGACGGCCCACTCTGGCCGCTGTGCCTTCTGGGGCAACGTGGAGGTGGGCAGGGACGTGACGGTGCCGGAGCTGCGGGAGGCCTACCATGCCGTGGTGCTGGTGAGTGCAGCCAGGCGCTGGGTAGGGGAGGCAGGGGCTGCAGAAGGCGGCTGGCGGCTGGCGGTGGAGGGCCCCAGGGGTGAGGCCAGGATGCACGCTCCAGAGGAGAAGCTGGAAGGGGGCCGCTGGGAGCCTGGGGGGCTGCCTGGCCTACCAGTGCTGGTGCTGAGAGCTGTGGGCCTCGGGCCTGTCATCTTTCATCAGAGCTACGGGGCAGAGGACCATCGGGCCCTGGAAATTCCTGGTGAGGAGCTGCCAGGTGTGTGCTCTGCCCGGGCCTTTGTGGGCTGGTACAACGGGCTTCCTGAGAACCAGGAGGTGAGTTTGGGGAGCTTGCTGCGTCTTCCTCCCCACCCCGCGGCCCTTGGATGCCAGGCCTGGGGAAAGAGGGAGCTGCCACCCGGTGGTGAGGAGAGGTGAGATCCTGCTGACTGAAGCGGGAGGCTCGGGGGAGAGCTGGGTCCAGGTGTGGGAGGAGGGACCTGAGTTGTGGACTTCCCTGGTGTGGGGAAGCCCCAGGGCACAGCGGGCACCGGGCATGAGGCACCTGTAGACTGAGGTGAGCTTGAATGGAGCGAAGCCAGGGGCCCTATCCAGACCTTTCCCTGCAGCTGAAGCCAGACCTGAGCTGTGACACGGCTGTGATTCTAGGGCAGGGGAACGTGGCTCTGGACGTGGCCCGTATCCTACTCACCCCACCTGAGCACCTGGAGGTGAGTGGTAGGTTGGGGCTGAAGGGTGGAGGTGGGGTCGCCCTGAGGAGAGAGTGGGCCTGTCTGCAGGGTTCAGGCCTCCCCTCTCCAAGCCAGACCCAGTGCCTCTGTTTCCCCGTGGTGCCCAGGCAGAGGCCCTCTGAAGAGCAGTCCCATGAGCGTCCTCTTCTCCATTTCCCCTGCACTTTCTGTCCTCCAGCTGAGGGGCCTTTTTCTCTTTACTCTTCAGTACCCACAGGACCTGGCTCTCACCACCCCTGCCTGGATCGTCCCCTCCCACCTCCCACCAGTTAACAGCCAAAGTTCATCTTTTAGATCTTGGCTCGGTTGCCCCTTGGCTTCCCTGAATTGGCCCCATCACACCTCCTCCCACAGACCCGGTTACTGTGTCACAGCCTGTTACCGCCACAGCAATTTTACACACGTGGTTGAGTATTTGATGAGTATTTCTCTCCCCACCAGATCAGAAGCCCTGTGATGGCCTGCTCCTTGTCTCTTTTGTTCACCATTGATGCCCCTCCAAGCTCTTTGCACGGGGCTGAGGACATAGGAGAGGTCCACTAAATACTTGTTGAATGCAAGTGTGGGCCTGGTGTGCGATTAGTTGGAGTCATATGCAGAGTTGGCAGCAATGCTCCATCAGGCCACCAGGGGGGAGCAGTGGTGCAATTTTGGGCCGCCAGCCTTCTGGCCCACAGTGGGGACGTGACCAAGCAGAGAGTCCGCTTTCCCAGGTCAGTGTCTGATGATTTCAAGGCCCTCCTTTTGCGCCAGAAAACGGACATCACGAAGGCAGCTCTGGGTGTGCTGAGGCAGAGTCAGGTGAAGACAGTGTGGCTAGTGGGCCGGCGTGGACCCCTGCAAGTGGCCTTCACCATTAAGGTGCTGGGGCCAGAGTGGGAGGAGCCAGGGTTCCAGGTGGAGGGCCTCTCCTTAAGGGGTGGGGTGGGGCAGAGCCCCTGGGAGTAGCTGCTGCCTGGGATGGAAGAAGGGGAACAGTCAAGGCCCCGGGGCCCTGTGCCTTCAGGGAGGAGGTGGGTGGTGGTTGCTCCTGCCTGGGCTGGACCCTGGGGTGGGCTCAGGTGGACAGTGTTCTGACCTGACCTCCTCCCCCATTCCCTACCCCCACCCTCAAGGAGCTTCGGGAGATGATTCAGTTACCAGGAACCCGGCCCATTTTGGATCCTGTGGATTTCTTGGGCCTCCAGGACAGGCTCAAAGGTGAAGGACCCTGGCCTGGCCCACCAGCTACTGAGGAGGGTGTGGCCTAAGTCAGAGAGGGTTGGGGAAGGGCATTCGGGGAGAGGGCTGGGCTCCAGGGACAGCCTGGAGACAGTCTACAATGCTGACAGAGGTCCCGCGCCCAAGGAAGCGGCTGATGGAGCTGCTGCTTCGAACGGCCATGGAGAAGCCAGGGCGGGAGGAGGCTGCCCACTGGGCATCGGCCTCTCGTGCCTGGGGCCTCCGCTTTTTCCGAAGCCCCCAGCAGGTGCTGCCCTCACCAGATGGGCGGGGGGCAGCAGGTGTCCGCCTGGCAGTCACTAGACTGGAGGTGAGTCTCACGTTTCCCAAAGACACACCCCCTTCCCAGGCCTCTGCCACTCCAGCCTGGAGTTGCCCACACTTTCCCCTCTCCCCAACAGGGTGTCGGTGAGGCCACCCGGGCAGTGCCCACGGGAGTCATGGAAGACCTCCCTTGTGGGCTGGTGCTCAGCAGCATTGGGTATAAGAGCCGCCCTATCGACCCAAGTGTGCCCTTTGACTCCAAGCTCGGGGTCATCCCCAATGTGGAGGGCCGGGTTACGGATGTGCCAGGTGAGAGGGTGTGAGGGGCCTGGGTGGTGAATTCTGGTGGGAGGCCGGGAAGCTGGCATCTCCTGGGGCCATGCATTCATTGATCTAGCAACATGCACTGAGAAGCTTCTGTAGGGCAGGCCCTCTCCGGACCCAGCACCACCCTCTTCTTGGCCCTAAGAGAAGTTCCAGTCTAGCTGGGACATACGGGACCTATGTCTGGTCATTAAGTCATTCAACAAACATTCACTGAGATCTGTTCTGGGCTAGGCCCTGTGCTTAGTGCTGGGATAGGAGATAAATCAGGCAGTCAGGGAGCTCCAGTTTTACTAAGTGCCCACATACCTATCTAGTCATTTGGTAAACATTTATCAAGGGCCTACTGAAACTGCAGGGGGCAAACTGCAGCTCCTAAGCTTAGGGATCCCCTCATCGAAGGGACACCAAAGTGTAAGGGGGTCAGTCTGGTTAAAAACAGGGTGAAAAGAATCCAGGGCAGTGGACCAGCGGCCACCGCAGGCTCAGCCAACAGTCTTCAGGGAGGCATGGAGTGTCTGTGTGTCTGCGCACGTGGGTACAGATTGTGGGCACAGGATGGCTAGGGTGGTGGCCAGCCACCTCCCTTCCTTCTTTTTTTGTTCCCCCCGTCAGGCCTCTACTGCAGCGGCTGGGTGAAGAGAGGACCCACAGGGGTCATAGCTACAACCATGACTGACAGCTTCCTCACTGGCCAGACGCTGCTGCAGGACCTGAAGGCCGGGCTGCTCCCCTCTGGCCCCAGGCCTGGCTCCGCAGCCATCCAGGCCCTGCTCAGCAGCCGAGGTCTGGGCCCTGATGCTGAGTCCTGGGAGGTGGGGTGGGAGGTCCTCCTTTAGGGTCTCACTCTTTGGGAGGGAGCTGTTTTGGGAGAGGTGAAGGAGGAGGTGGTGACAGTCTCCCCTCTGCTTCAGGGGTCCAGCCAGTCTCTTTCTCAGACTGGGAGAAGCTGGATGCTGAGGAGGTGGCCCGGGGCCAGAGCACTGGGAAGCCCCGGGAGAAGCTGGTGGATCCTCAGGAGATGCTGTGCCTCCTGGGACACTGAGCCCAGCCCCAGCCCCTGGCAGGGAAGGGTTGAGTTTTGGGAGGGGAAGGGCTGGGTCTGCCGAGTGGGACTCTGCTACATCCTGGCAGGCCGGGCTTGGAGGCTCGGCTGCCCTTCCAGGGTTTCTCCTTCCTCCTGGGGAAGCTTGCCCTGGCCAGCAAGGTTTTAGCTTTCAGCAACCGAGGCAACTGTAGCGTTGTGCAGAGGTGCGGCTGACCTAACTCCTTCCCACCTCTCTCCTGCTGGACTGTGGAGGGTCACCAGGTTGGGAACATGCTGGAAATAAAACAGCTGCAACCAAGGGCTGTGGTTGATGGGGGACTTTTTTTGGAAGGGTTGGTTGGGGTCAGGGGTCACCTGCTGGCGGTAGCTCCGCTACCATCACCAGGTACGACTCCCTGCTGGGGGCCCTCTTGGGGGCCTGAGGGGGCTGGGCAGCCCGGCCTGGCGTAGGCACCTCCCTTTCTCCACTGGGCTCTGCTGTCGTTACAGATTGCCTGTCTTCTGTCCACACTAGGGCCACCCGGGATGGGACCCCAGCCTGCCTGCTCCACTGGCCCCCTGGTTAACCCTTAGGTGGGGGGGAGTGTGCGGAGGGGCACTGAGCAGCAGCTTGTCCCCTGTGCCTCTGGGTGTCCCAGGCGAGTCTGGCCCAGGTCCTATTCTCTGTCCACTCTCAAAGCCTTCCTGCCTCTGTTGGTTTCCAGCCAGACCCACTGGCCTTTAAGAATAGTGCCTTAGTTGGCTAGGTGGTGGCTCACGCCTGTAATCCCAGCACTTTGGGAGGCCGAGGTGGGTGGATCACGAGGTCGGGAGATCGAGACCATCCTGACCAACATGGTGCAACCCTGTCTCTATTAAAAATTCAAAAATTAGCCGGGCGTGGTAGTGTGTGCCTGTAGTCCCAGCTACTTGGGAGGCTGCGGCAGGAGAATCTCTTGAACCTGGGAGTCGGAGGGTGCAGTTAGCCGAGATTGCGCCATTGCACTCCAGCCTGACGACAGAGTGAGACTCTGTCTCAAAAAAAAAAAAAAAAAAAAAAATGCCTAAATGTCCCTAGGGCTTCCCAGTGTCTGGAGAGTGGTCACTGCCTTTGATGGCAGCCCCAAAGATGCCGCCTCGCTATATAAACCGAGGGGTCCTCGAAATCAACTGGCCCAAGGTCACACACTCGTGAGCTTCGGGCTCAAACCCAGGCCCCGGGCAGGCTGGTGTTTCCTCCGAGGTGCACCTGCCCCCTGTGTCGGGTATGGAGACGCGGTCCCTGAGAGGGGAGAGGGACCCGGGCCCGCGGCGGGAGGGGCCCCGAGGGGCGGCGGGCCGGGCCGGAGGCGGCGGGCCCCGGCGGGGCGGGCCCTTGCGGGCGGCAGTGAACACTCCCGCACAGTCTGCTACGAGCTCTGGGAGCCGGAGGCGCAGCGCACAGCCCAGCGCCGGACGGAGCCGGGCACCGTTCGAGCCTCGGGAGGGTCGCGGGGAGCGGGGGCGGGTCGGGGCCAGCCCGCCAGGTCGCGCCACCCGCCCCCGCCCCCGCTCCGGCACCCGCCGAGCTGAGACTGAGCTGGCCAGCGCGCCGGGGCCAAGGCTCCGGGACAGGCACCGCGAGGAAGGCGGCCGGCGCGGGCTCTCGGCGTAGGCGCAGCGCCCCTTCCCCTCGGTGAGTGGCGGGCGGCGGGCGGGCGGGGGTCTCTAACTTCGCCGCCAACTTGGGGCTGGGTTCCCGCGGCGCGCCGGCAAGGACGGCGGAGACAGAGGCGGGACACCCGGGCGGGGGGTCGGGCCGGCGCAGGACTCTGGGGCGCAGGGAGGGGGCGGCTGGAGGACCCGGACCCTCGAGAACCGGGCCTTGGGTTTGGACCCGGGCAGCGAGAGAGGAGGGGCAGAAGAGGCCGAGGAGACAGGCGCGCGGCGGACGCGAGAGAAGGACGCGGGCGAAGCGCCCAAGACGTTCGTCCCCGGGGTCGCCGAGCCCTCCTTCTCCTTCGCCTGGCACGGCGGCACCGCGGGACCGGGGGCAGTGCGGGGACGCGGGAGTCTGGGCTGCCGCGGACCTCAACTGTTGCTGCTGGTAGCTGCCGGGGCGGAGGGCGGGGAACAGGGCCGGGAGCGGGGCCGGGGCTGGGATCGACCAGAGCGAGGGGCTGAGAAGGCGAGAGGGAGTGAGAAGGGAGTGAGAAGGCGAAAGGGGGCTGTGCGGTTCCCCAGCCTGGTGCCCTGGTTTCCCCAGGTCTGCTGGGCACCTGCTGCGCACCTGCCTCCGCGCCCGGACCCCTTCCCCCGCCGCGAGTCCGGGTTCTTCCCCTACAGCTCTGCCCGCTCTCTGCCCCAGCCTAGCGCTCTCCTCCCTGCGACCTGGGAGAATCGGAGTGGCTTCCAGGGTAGTGGCCTCTTGCAGATGCTGGCCCGTGCTCGGGTCCCGGGCTTCCAGAGCGCGAAGGGAAGGGTGGGCAGAGAGGGCACTGCGCGAGCGTGGTCTGGCGCTGGGCCTTGGCTGCGCACCAGCAGGCTACGCCGGTCTCTGGGGGCTTCGCCCAGGATCCCCGACGGCGGAGAGGGGAAGCCCAGAGCCTCCCGTTTCCCGCCTAGGCGGGCAGGGCGGGGACACGCGGAGCAAAGGCACCCGGCAGCCTGAACCCCCAGGTGGGTCCCGTGATCCTGCAAGGAGCTGCTGGGTGAGCAAGACGGGAATTCCCGCCCGATCCTGACGCCCACCCCATTCGTCCACTCTGTTTCCCAGGCCTGGTCGCCCAAGGGGAATTCTGGCTTGGCCTCCCAGCCCTCGGATGGTGGTGTCCTAGTTCAGTCCTCGATCCCAGGCCACAGAAAAACCGAGAAAAGAAACTTATTTGGGGAGGGTGTCATCGCGCTGACTGTATTTCGGAGTCCATCTAGGTCTTGGCAGTGCTAATGGCTTTGAGCCTGTTTCTAAACTCCCAAAGAATACGAGCGTGCAAGGGGCAGGTAGGCAGGTCCGGGACACCTGAGTTCGCCCAGGGCCCTGGGGCAGGCCTCGGCTGGTACCGGGGCCTCCTGCCAGGCTGGCTCGGTCCCCCGACAGCGGGGCTCGGGGTCACGACCCAGCTTGGGGGAGTGGGGGTGGGGGCCCCGGAGCCGCGGACGCCGGCGGGGGGCAGCGCCAGGCTGGGGGCGCCGGGTGCGTGGTGCGCAGCTCGGCCGCCAGGAGGCGTGGCGCGGGTCCCCGCCCGGAGCCGCCGCCACTGCCGCCGCCGCATCGCGAGTGTCCTTGAGCCGTGGGTGACGGTGGCTCTTGCTGCTCGCGCCCCCTCCTCCCGCGGGGGGAGCCTGATGCCACGTTCCCTATGAATTATTTATCGCCGGCCTAAAAATACCCCGAACTTCACAGCCCGAGTGTAAGAGATTCCTGCGGAGGGGAGGGGGCGGAGCGTCCCGGGGGCTGGGGGGAGTCCGGGCGGGATCAGGGACGGGGGCCTTAGCTTCGAAGAAGCGAGAACTCCATGCCCCCACGAGTGGGGCAAGCTAGAAGGGCGGTCCTCTCCCCTGGCGCCTGGGTTTGGGTTTTGGCTGGGCAAAAGGGAGGGAGGGAAACCCGACGGCAAAGGAGGGGCGGCTCACCGGAAAGGCAGGGGGTCCCGGAGGTCTGCTCGCGGGTGTGGCGGGCTCTTCGGACCAAGTTTCCTAGCCCGGGAGAGGGGGAGCCATCAGCCTCTCGGGTGTGAGCCGGTGTGAGTGTGGGAGTGTGCGTGTGTGTAGGTCCGTGCGGGGGTCTGCCTGAGTTGTGGGGACCCCAGGAGGAGAAGGCCCCCAGCCTGGGAAGGTGCTCAGAGCCTTCCAAATGCTGCTGTGTCCTGCAGGACACTGACCACTGCCATCCTCTGCGGGGCTCTTTGGGGTCCCTGTGTTAGTCAAACATTAGTTTAAGGGCTGTTTGTGGAGGGGGTGAGACCCTGAGTGGGTGGGTGGGCAGAAGTGTCTGAGACAATTCGTCTGCCCTCAAGGAACCTGCAGTCCAGTGTGGGACAGGGCATTCATGAAGGCACACACACCTGCCGCAGGGCAGAATGGAGGGGTGGAGGGGTGGAGGGGACCACTGCACAGATCTCCCCACCCAGGAGGGGAAGCCAGGGCAGAGGGAAGAAAGCCAGCCGCCCTACCCTGGCCACAGACCCTGCGCCTGGAGACTGAGGCATCAAGGCAGGTACCTGTGGGAGAGGGATTTCGGCTGGGCCCTGAACGATGGTAGACTTCCATTGGGAAGAGGACGTTCTAGCCTGGGGGATGCTGGAACAAAGCCTGGAGATGAGGACAGAGTGGGGTGGTTTGGCCACCAGACTGGCAGAGCTGTGGGCTCCAGGGCAGGGGAGGACGCTGCTTGCGGTCAGGGTGCAGAGGGCCCTGTCCATGGGACTAAGGTGTCTGGACTTCATTTGTGGGCACCAGGGAAGCAGCTGTCCTGTGGGAGGAGGGAGCAGGGGCTGGAGGAAGGCTTCAACAGTGCTGTGGGGCCCTCCAGGGTGGGTAGATGGGAGGTGGGGAGGGGAGGCAATGGAGGAGATTGTGGCAGGCGGAACGGAGTTTGCCCCTCCTACCTCTGTAGGGCAGCTGGATTCCACGGGGTGATGAGACAGCCATGGGAGTCTCCTTGATCTGCCCCTTGCTATTTGGAGTCCAGAGACTTACCTGGTTTTGGCCCCCACCTCTGGAGGAACTCTGGGATCTCTCCCTGATTTTAGGCCCTTTGGTTAGAGGCACAACCTTCCTGAAGCCCCCCACTTCCAGACCCCCAAGCCAGGAGGACACTTTCCCTTTGGAGAGAGTCTGTGGTGTCCCCAGCCCAGGGAGATGCCTTCCTATGGGAGAGAGTAGGAATGAGAAACGTTCAGCTACTATCAGACCCTTATACCTTCATGTGAATGAGCTCTAGATCCTTGGCTAAGAAAGGGTCTTGACTGGGGAGGCTGGAAGCTTGAGGGGAGTAGGAGGGCAGGCTATTGGTGGAAAGGGAAATACCTTTGGAAAAAGGAGGCCGAAATGCTAACGGCAGACTGCTTATTCTGCCCCTTTGAGTTGAGGGAGTGCCTGGGCCCTTCATCCAGGATCATACTGTCCAAGGAAATAAAATGGGAGCCACAAGTGAAATTAAAAATTATCCAGCAGCCACATTAAAACAGATAGAAAAAAACAGGTGGAATTAATTTTAACAGTATATTTTCTTTGACTAAACATACCCCAAATGTTATTATTTCAACATGTCATCAAGACACAAATGTTTATGAGATTTTTACATTCTGTTTCCATATTGTCTTCAATCTGCAGTGTGGGAT